AGTGGGTGTGGGGGAGTGTTTCCTGCCAAAAACCAGGAGCAGCTTTACTGTGACATCTGAAAGGATACTGATGAAATAAGCCTAGCGCCGTGAACAGAGGTGGCTCTGTGGTTTCCGGAGGAGAGTGACGTGTGCTTGACAGCCCCACAGCCCTACGCAACTCAACTCCAGTACTTCATCGCTCCACTTGGCCTCTACTGACATTGTCAAGGACAGTATGCCAGACTGGTAAAAGAAGGATCAAATCCAAGGGAACAAAACCACTGGAAAGGGCTTTGATGTTTCCACCCAAATTGTGTTGTTTAAGAATAAAGTGTAGCCAGTTCAAATGAACACTTGAAGATTAAATTTATTTCCTCCTGAGTGCTCATAAGACATAGGGTTTATCAAGACCTAAGAACGCACAATATACTGCACTTACACCAATGCACCATATATACCATATGTATATCCCAGCAAATTAGAGGCAGTCTCACATATTTTTGTATACACTCACCTAGGTATAGCTTAATATTCTGGATATCATTCCTATAAGGTTGCTGTTACACTTAAAAAAATCCAGAGTTATGGGGCCATAGAAGAAACAACAAAAGCAACAAATGAAAAAGTGTAATTTAAAATACATTACTGACTATATTGAGTTCTCCAGCCATTAAGTGTACTGCATCAGTTCTCTCTGTCTTTTAAATAGGTGAAAACATATAGCAGAAATTTAGTTTAACTTTGGAAACTCATCTTACATTTTTTTTGCCACATGAGAGTCCAGAGAGCTGTAAATTGAAGATTACGGCCATGGGTTGGTGAGCAGACAAGAAAAGAAAGAGTGTGAAAATCAGAGCTAACTTCATGCTCTCTATGTTTATAAAACAAACAGAAGGCAGTATCATCAGTCTGCTAGGGATGCCAGAGTACCTATGGCCTTGTGCCTGCTTTTCCTGCTAACAGACCCTGGAAATCAAAATCTATGGCTTCTCTTGATGGAGCCCTGGCATGGACAATAAGGCAGCTACTGCTGTGAAAGGCTGTAAAGAAGACCAGTCAGCTGGGAGATGTTATAATTATTCCTGTCTATATTCCCTCTTCACTTCTTTGGGAAGCAGGCACAGAAGAAGCAATTTTCCGAGTCTCTCCAACCTACTTTGCACCCCAGATTCGTTTGGTCTTTGACAGAAGTGGAACACCAACATCCCAGGCCATAGCCACTCATTCTCTGATTTTTCTGTGCTGAGAAGCCTTGACCTGCTGCTGGCTGAGACAATGCTGACAGCTGGCTATCTGTTTTCTTGACATTGCCTTTCTTATTGCTCTGCCTTCATAAAGACACAGAGCCAAGATCACAACCGACAGATGCCATTATATGCAATGGAATTATATATGGGCCGGTTTTGGTATGTCTTTTGCGTTCATACAATCGTTCTCCGATCTCCTCCTGTTGCGGCACTTCAGCTGTGGCTTGACAGCATGGTGGAATTTACTAATTTGTTTTTGCCTTGTGCTAAGCAGTCAATAAATACCAGCGTTTCTATGTGCATTTCTGTATTAGCAACTTGCTGTCTTGGATGGAATCTAATACAGAGAACAGGAAGGGCAGAGACTGGATGGTTTTCAGCTGAAAAGCCTTTTAAAGCAACTCTCCTGTTTCTCAGGAAGGTGCCCCTGTAGCTGACATCAACACTACACAGCTCTTTGTCCTCCTCTAGTGGTCTCATTATGATTAGGGAGAGGCTTATGCAGTGATTACTTCCTTCAAATTAATGTGGTCATTACTCAACTGCAAGTTGTTGAGACTCATGCCGAGATCCTGCATTCAATTCTAACATGAGTGACAGTTCAGGGTTTCCTCTCTCTGGTGCTCCCGGAAGTTGAAACAGGTACCTCTGCTCATCGCCAGTTGCAGCCACACAGACAACTGTGCCTTTTTGTGCCGTGGTCTTCTGCTCTGAGCAGAGGTTGCATCATGGCAGGTTGTTCAAGAGCATGAAACAGTGGCATGGTCTGACTACAGCCCCACAAATGTCCTGTGTTGCAAAAGGCCAGAAGCTGACTGCTTTGTTCGATAGCTTTATTGTCCCAAATACCTTGCATCAAGCATATGTTACAGCTTCTCTCTGTGTTTGCCTGCCTGACTTGCAAACAAAGAAACAGCGCAAAATCCATCTTATGTCCTGAGCTTTTCAGAGAGGAGGTGAGTGTCCCTCTGCTGCAGCACAAAACCTTAAAAGCTAATCCTTAGGAATTCATACTAAAGAGCTAAATAGCAAAAACTGAACCTAAAGGATTGTTATGAGGGTAACGTTTTCTAAAGGAAATGCTAAAATTGGTGGAGCTGTTACCCACTAGAAATGCTTTGTGTGAAAACAAAAGGTTCCTACTATATAGCTCATTCTTTGTGTGTGTGTCTCAGAGCTGTAATGCTTAGTTAGCATTATAATATGCTAAAGATCTATTTTGCTGCTTGCATACTTTAAAATGTCTAATCCTTAAACTTTTGAAGTTGTATCTTGCCCAGGGAAGAAAATACAAGGACATAGTCGCTATCAGAGAGGTCTGATGGAAAGATCTTATTTAAACAGAACACAGGTTTATTAGATTTTTTTATTATTATTCTTCAGTGAATTCTTTCCAGGGAATTGTTACTTTTGGAATAAATGTTAAATGGCAAAATGTGCCCTCTGCCATGATTCTTGGAAGCCCCCAGTTTAAAGCAAGTCGGTTGCACAGAATGCAAGGGACCTGAATATGGTTGTCCATTCACAACCTTTGCAGGTTGTGTTCAGTCATAGAAGAAGATTACTTAAGAATCCTATGGCTCCATGTCTGAACTTAGGTGCTGGAAACCAGTATCATTCCAATAGAGACAAAACTTCAGAGCAATTTATCAATTTTCATTAGATTGCCATTTATAGCAAGGTACCTGTCACATCTCAAGAGTAGTTACAAACCCAAACTCATTTACCAGCTGTTTAGTGTTCAGCTCTCCTAAGGAATCCAAGCTGTAATCAGAATGAGTTAGGAAAAATGTTTAGAATATCTTCATTCTGAAACCACCTACATTTTGTACAATTATTGACTAGATATTAACATTTACCAAGTCTAGTATTTTCAGTATTTTTCTTTCTTATTAAAATATTGACTGAAAATCAAAGCCACAGAAAGAATCATGGAGAAGAGAAATGGAGGAAGATATTTAGAATGATATTGGGTCACATGTGTAAAAAGTGTCTTTATACACTGCTGCTTTATTGCTTTAGAAGTTTCTTCTATAAAATTCAGAGTATTCCTTAATAGATCAAGCTTTTGTCTATAATTCACATACTAAAACAGTAAACATATATGTTTCTAATATACCCATTTGTTTGTTTTTGAAACAGCAATGTCCTGAGATATATATATATATATATATAGCAAGGGTTCTCATTTTCCTCTTGCTTTTGAGAGCTGAGGATCACAGTTTGCCTGAAACTGCTCCAATATATCAGTAAGGGTTGAGCAGCAAATATTTGCCTTTTTAGAAGAATAAAGAAGGGCTTTGTTCTATCATTTCTGGCTATGAAAGGAAGAGGCAATATCACTGCCTAATTTTGTGAGCCAGACTGGCACTGCAAAGAAGTTATAACAGGAGCCAAATGAAAGGACCCTCTGGTGCACTGATTGCAGGACCAAGTCTACCTACTTCTAATCTGAGCAATACATAGCATAACTAGTTAACAGGCCAAGGCCACCAAACAGCTGGGTTTATTCACTAGTTTATTTTCACTGTACCACTGCTGAGAAAAACATGATGTTCATTTTTCAGTCCAAAGTATGCATCTCCACTTTGTGCTGAAAACATGTCAATGTGACCCCTCTCTGCTTTCTAGTAAATGCATGGGATCATTGGATAAGGATGTTTTATTCTCCCCACTTACTTAAGGTCACTTTCTCATCTTGGGTAAACTGCTACAGCTGGAGTCATGACAGCACGAGACAAGAGTACTGTCTAGGTCTTGGGAGGGACTGCAGAATGTCTAATCCAGCTGCTGCTCTCTCCTGAATAGGATGACTAGAAGGGGCTCACGATCACAGCCTCAGCTCCACCTGGCACACTAGCCAGGCATCCATGGCAAATGAAAAGCTGAAAGAGATCACCTTCTCCACTCCCCTGTGAGCAAGAGGAAAATACCAGAACAGGTTATGGTTCTGTGGGCCACATCCATTTTCCTGTTCAGAGTGTGATTAGCCCATAACTCTTGCCCAGGGAGTGCAGCAGAGGTAAAATAAAAACAGGAGCATAAAACCTTTTATGACTAAGGAAACATAAAAATATGTAATCAGTGGGAACTACTGTACACAGGTTTGATTTTGTGATGAATCAAGTACCTATAGTTTTTAACAAGAGCCAGATGGAGTTACAGCTCCCTCCCATTTCCCAGAATCAGGCCCTTTGTTGGCAACTGTTCATATACAGCTGCTATATAGGATAGTTCTGGTTTCTTACACTATGGAGACCTCTTCTCAAAGTCAATTAGCATTATGCCTGGGCAAATATTGCAGGATCAGGCTGCTCATTAAAGCCCTGGGACCACAACTGCCTCTATTTTAATTCTGTAATATATCACTCAAGGATACACAATTATCCATGGAGTACTTCTGAAATGGCCAAGGTCACATGAGGATTTTATCATATTACTGCAGTGCACCATCTTCCTTGCCAGCCCATTGCTGTTCTGCTACAGACTACATTACCATGCCTCAGCAAATACACGAGCATGCTGCTATATATAGTGTTTTATACATTCAACTAAAATAGAGGATGTGTCAGCTTTTAATCTGACTTCACATTTTTGTCAGCAAAGTAAAGGCTCATTTTCCCTACCAGTGATGAAGTGTGCTCTGTGTTAGTCATCTTAAGCTATGTGGTGATAACTTTAAAATACATTAGGCAGCTAGAATGCTCAATCCAAGTACAATGTTTTTTACTCAGAAATATACTAGAAGATAGTAAGGATGCAAAGCATCAGTCAGCCAGCTTTTAATATGGATTGCCACAGGTGACCTAGAAACCCAGCAGCAATCTGATGGCAAGAGGAGCAGCTAAGCAAGGTGTTCTCTGGGGTGCCACAGCAGACAATTAGGATGTCCTGTGTTACAACTGCAGAACAGAGATAGGTGGTGCAGACTGCACTTGGTGTTATGTACCTGGCAGTATGAGAAGAAAAGCACTGATGATAATGACTTGAACAGGGTGGGCTATTGCATGGCAATGGGACTGGGGAAGTCCTATTAATGACATCATCTATTAATGATAGCAGAAACGTGGTTTAGTGGTTGAAACCACAATTAATACCAGGATAGCCATATTCCTTCTTAAAGAAAGCAGGGTTCAGTGGATGAAGCTGGTGTTTTCATAGGTCTTGGTAAAGCCACAGAATAAGATATTATTTACATATCTGTAACATATGCTTATTAATGCCATCACATACAAGCAGTACCAGTGTGAATTGCCTTCCTATCTACTGCTTCTACAGAAAGTCAACAGGCCAAAGGTAAGCCTGTCTATGGGAAAACCAGCTTTTCCACTCCAAACTCTCATCCTCTCTTGTAACTGTCCCTTGAACTTTGCTGACTACATCTTAAAGGCTGTAGGGGACACCACACTTGCAACCTAGGTGTAAGTCATAATAACTTTGCATTTATCTAGTAGTGTGAAATTGAATAAATTTCCAAGTCAGTCTAACCCAGGGCTGTCCATACCAGCCCCATAATGCTGTGGCAGAGCTGTTCACTGTTCACTGCCCAGCCATGTGACCCAACCTGCAGACTGACATCCCATCCCATCCCATCCTTGGCCCATCCCTGTCCTCAGGCCTCATCCTGGCACTGTCTCTGACCTCTGTTCCTGGAATGGTGTTTCTCCCAGTCCCCTGGGAGCCATGCTGCATCCTGTCACTATTAAAGAAAACAGAAAGCAGAATAAATTCATGCCTCAAGAGTCACATCTTACCATTATTTAATTTTTTTTCCTAATGGTCAGACCATCATTAATTCCAGTGCACGCACTGACATAAGTAACAGTGTTACTACATCTGGAAATAACAGTACAAGACCTGGCTAAAATGCAGTGACACTGCCGGCAGTACTTCAAATCAGGTTCCCTGGTGTGTCAGGGTGGTCTGAACAGCTGCAGCTTTTCTTAGACACGTTTCAGGTATTCTGCTTAACATACTGTGAGGCACGCACTGCAAATCCAGGTAAGAGAAACCCCAAAGTATTGCATTTATTTGAAAAAACAACAGCAACAACAGATAATTTAAAAAAAAAACAACCACAAAAAAACCCACAAAAAACCCCACATAAAACCCCAAAAAAACCCCCCAAAAAACCCCAAACCAAACCAAACCAAAAACTCAAAATAAAGCAACCAAAACCAAAACCAAAACAAAACCCAACAAAAACAAAACAAACACAACAACAACAACAACAAAAACACACACCAAAAAAATGCAAGCAAGAGAGAGAACAGTAGTCCAAAGGGTGGAGTTTTTTTTTCTCTCTCACAAACAAAAATGGTTTACTTGGTGAACAACTAGAAGCTGGGGATGGCCTAGCCCTGGGGAAAGGGCTGCAGAAGCACCCAGCCCAGCTGCAGCAGCTCTGAGCTGTCCTGTGCATCCCCAGCTCCTTCTAGGATGGAGTTACAGGTGTTGTTTGGTGGGGAGGGCAGGGTACTGTCCCACTCTGACCCACTAGTACTCCAGGAAATAACTCTTTTGGCCCTTGAGAGCTCTTGTTGGACAAAGCTTTTCCCAAGACAGAGGTCAGAAGAAGACATGAGGAAAGGGGATGAGAAGGAAATGAGGATGTAAGGGGAATATGGTGCAGAAAATGAACTTGAGTAGAACAGTGAGTGCTGTGTTCTGTGCGTGGCTGGTACCAGCAGGTACGGTTTTCTTCTCATGCAAGAAATTCCAAAACAGAAAAAAATTTCTTACGCAGAAAACACAGAAAATATCTGAAATGTTTAGCAACTGCAAATCTGGACAGAACCCTTCTCCCTCAGTTCAAGATACAGATTTGGCCTTTTTTGTAATTTAAATCATGTTTTCTTGTTCTCTCTTTTTTTCCTTAATATTTTAATGTAACAAATTTCAAAGGTGAAAATTTCAAAGTCAAATAAAAATCTAAACTTCTCACTTTGAAAACTGTTAAATCATCTCATGTTGAGACATGTGTCTATTTTACATAAATGAAACAGAAATTAGTGGTTGCTAACCTTTTCCTGTAAAATGGTTCTGTTTGAAGAAATGGGTATTTTCTGTCAGAAGCATTTTAATGATCAATTTATTACCAGTTCTATCATATGCTAGATTTCTATGATTAAAGTTCTACCTCAATGACCAAACTGTGTCAGAAAATGACCCGTCATTCTTCTTTCATGCCTGCAGTCATCAGATTTTTAACCAGCATGTTCTACTGTTTAGATAGGTGCTAAAACTTTATCTCTTTTAGTGACAAAATTAATATTGTCATAAAAATAAAGCATTTAAAAAATCAATCATACTATAAAATGGGAGCACTGCTAAAATAATTAGTTTTAATTAAAATGTGCCATTGATGTGTTTTCCTTTTCTTTATAAAGCAAGCCTTCGGTGGCACAGAGAGGTTTTGATCCAAGCAATGAACAAAATTTTAAAAATTGCTCAATTAATCTCAGAACTTTTGAAATTTGTTTAGCTTTGGACAAGCACAGGCATGTGTTTCATTGGCAAATACCATCATGGAATAAATCCAAATCCAACTCATAAAGCAGAAAAAGTTAAAGTGCACAGAGCTTGAATGAAAATACTTATATTTACACTATACTCAACAGCCTTCATGTTTTGTTGACTTCATTTTAAGTACATGAGGGTGGTATTGCCTATGGAGACCTGAGTTTTCTAGGCTAGGGTCTCTGGCATTTTACTAAGCCCCCATGTTTGCCAGCAGAGCCACTAAATCAGTGACATTGGCTGCAAAAGGCTGTGTTCATCAGATTCTAAGCAAGTTACGGGTGGCCCTTGGAATGAACTGAGGATGCAGTTTAGATCAGAGACAGATGCAAGAAGAAATCACTGAGTGAGCAAACTAGCTTAATCTAGTCCTTCAGGCCAAAATAAAGATGCAGAGTCATCTAGGGACAGAGGGATAATTACAACACTGAAGTGCAATTGCTTTCTTTTTAATTGACACACACTGCATACATATTGACTAATAAAACAGAAACAGCAGTCAGAAAAGGGTGACTCCAGAGGTCAGTTGGTTTATGACTGAAATATTTCTAGCTGGCAAAGGCTTTTGTGGGAATGAGGATTCACTTAGACTTCGGGGACATTTCTTTTTGCAAAACTGTGAGGTCGTTATTAAATTCCAGTAACTCACGTTCTGTGAAGCAGTTTCTTTTCTCTATATTTCTTAATTGTGCTTCATTACAATTTAATAAGGACATTTACTCTCAATTAAGCAAATCATCCAAGCAGTTTCTTATGCCTATTGCAATTAATTGGTTTTGTCAAATGCAGGTTTAATTGTGTGTTAAGTATCTTGCTGAATCAGGATCCATGTGCATGTATGTCTGTCTATCCAAACCTTTCTTCAGCTCCTGGCATGTTCACATATATGCAGTTCAGGGTATCGGAGTCTTTAGCTCCACTTTCTGCTCTGCTCTTGGTGCCTCCCTGAAACTAAATAATTTCTCCATAACGGTAAAACTCACTAATGCTGTTAATGTTGACAAGTGCATTAACCAGCTAGTGAGCTAGTGAGCTCCAGGCATTGACTCTGCCACTGGGGACAAGGCCCAGGGGGGTGTTACATTTTTTAAAAAATCTTCCTCTCTAATGAGCCTCTTCACCAGATTTAGTTGCTGTATGATCACTGAACCAGAAAAATCTCTGAGGTCCACTTCACCTCGACTCACCTCACACTCCCCAGCACCATGGCAAGACCTTTAGTCCCACTCTGACATCAATAACAAATGCTTGGGTTTATCCCTGTTATTCCAGAACTGACCTTGCAAGGTGTAAGTCAAAAGGTGATGATCAGCTTTCTTAAGAACCACCTAAATCCTACACCGCTAAGCCATGAACAGCAGTATGGAAGAGATCATTGCAACTGCACTAAATACCTATATGATAGCAGGGACTCCTGTGGGTCCTCCATCAATACATGCATGGTTATATGAGACACCAAGAACATTTCAAGAAGTAATGCAGGCTTACCCGCTTTTTCCTTGCCCGGCTTCTGAAACAGCATCTGCAAGAAAGTGATTTTTCTTTAATAATAGTACATTTTTTCCTTCATATAAGTCTCACATTTCAAGATGGCAATATACGTAATTATTAATCAGCACCATCTTACACAAGGCATAAAATCCAGAGCCCATCAATAAAAATCATGTGGAATAGCTAGCTTTGCAGGCTAAGGACAGCCTTGCACCCATTCTCAACCAGGTTCGCCTGTCTTGCAGTGAGTGAGCCTAGGAGCAGTCTCTGGCTCAAGAAGAGTATTTACTGCAAGGATACATGAGGTCCAGCACACTGGAACATGCCTAAAACTGTGATATAATGCTGGTGGGGCTCAGGGAGCAGACAGGCTGCTGGCAAGAGGTATGGGAAGCTCCACTGTGGCTAGAACAGCTCAGAGTGGTAGAGTCATGTTTCCTGCTCATCTGTGACCAGGAGAGGGTTCCTGTCTGACAGTCCTCTCTGAGGTCAAACTGACCTGCTGTGTTGTTTTTTTAATATTTTTCACCTCCCTCCTTTGGGTCTGCCATGCTAAATGAAAGGGGTGCCATTACCACCACACTTGAATGCACCTCTTGGTCCATTACTTTTCTCTTTAATAGCTTTCAGTGGCCAAATGAGGAGGTTCTTGACAGTGATTAAATGTATTTCACCCATTTTCCTTCCATAGATCCATCAGCTCTCGCAGCAATGCAGCCTGTAAATGAAACTAGCACACTGGGTGAAACTGCACCTATTTATTTTTTTTAATGAAACAGAAGGTTGAACTGATTCCTCCAGATACAAGTGAAGTCACAGGTATGAAATGCCCAGGCTGCAGCCAGCTGAAGAAACAGCACTCCTGTGCCTTGCAGTGACACACTCCCTGTTCTTGTTATCTGCTTGTCACCATATGGACAACCATCTGCACCTTTCCATCAGATGCACAAGTTCTCTGTTATCTCTTCAGTCAATATTGCTTCTGTAGCCTTGATAGGAATCTGTTTATGAAAACATGTTTTTTATTTACCTTTTATTTAGTGAAGAATTTTACTGAGATATTGGAAAATTCCACTAAGCCAAACTGAATTGATTAAGCATCTCTCTTAATAATTGGAAAAGTACAGCTATACTACAGGATTTTCCCTTCTGCGAGGCAATTTCATTCAAAAATAGCCTCTTGCTCTATTTAAAGGTCTGCCTGAGCAGCAGCTGAAGTTTATCTGTCTTCAGCCAGCAGGGACCAAGTGAAGTGGTCACTTCTAGATGGGAAAATAATGAGTGAGTGAGTCCAAATCAAGTTTCATTAGTGGCAAAGCATCTAATTTCCATAGAGAAGTGGAAAATTCAGTCAAAGGCTGTATCAACTGGCAAGGGACAGACAGGTCCCACATCAGTGTGCTAGGTTTTTGGTGTGCCTTTCTGAGTGTGGTACATCATATTGTCCCTCCACTCTTCAGAGAGCTGTGTTGTTCTTAATCACCCTGCTGTGGACAGGCATGTGATTTTTAGCACCCCAACTCTGGCATAAGCCTGGTGAAGGCGGGTGTCTGAACTGCTGTACTGTATCGTGGGATAAGTGCTTCTTGAAGAATACATAAATGATACATGAATCAAAAATAAATGTCAGTCCTTCATGGATAGCTGGTTCCTGTGTTCTAGTGCTGCCAGAAGGACACTAGCTATTAAAATCGTACACAGGCTATGTTAACTTCCAAGATCTTTTTAGGATGCCATACAAAAAGGATGCAAATTATTGCTGGAACAATCCCAAGTGGCAACAGAAAATTGCCAACCAAAAGTGATTTATGGAAATGATAATGCAGTATATAGCTGATTGTGTAACCAAATACATTTATTGGAGCACTAGCAATCCATCTGAACAGCATGGCACAATCTAATCAAATATATAGAAACCATGGACCAAAAGACTACAATGCTAGCCAAAAGACTGCTGCAGCACCTGCTGCTATGAATAATAAAGAAATAATTTGCTTACAACTCCAGCTGTAACAATCTTGCAAGTGGAAGTGCCAAACAGAAGCCAAAGATAAACACACTCTGCTGATATAACCATGTTTTATTTGCTGAAGTATGTAAACCAGCACACAGAAACCAGAAATGTGTTAGATGCTGTGTTCATGCCTCCTCGCTTAGCAGTCCCATGTTTCAGCAGGGCCATCCTGCATTTCATCTAAGTGAACAAAGGTCTCCAAAAGCTTGCCTGTGCAGTATTGCCCTCTGCTTTACGATCGGAGCGGGAGGAGCCAGTCCTACGAATGAGGCAAGTCCACCCTCAGTGTTGCTCAAGGGACAACTAAGTGAATCTCAAAAGGCTCCCCTACACTGCTAAATAAAAGATTAGGTCCAATTGGCATGGTCAAAGCACTGTACCCAGGTTTGCCCACTTGGCTAAGCAGCTCTGGCTTGTTTACACAGTGCTCTGAAAAGCTCTGCTTGGAGTAAGCCAGCTCTCAAAAAGCATGCCCTTGGCAATGGGGACAAGGAGACACTTTATGCCACTTGGCCTTTGATTCCTGAGCCACACTTATACTGCCCTATAAAGACAGCCTTCCAATACACAGTGTTAAGTTTATGCATCCTGTAGAGATGAACAAGATGCCCAGAGAATTTGTTAGAAATAAGTACTTGAATCTAAATCCCACAGACCCAAATGAAAATGTCTCTGTTCAGCAGATATCTAAAACCAGGAACACCTTTAAGAGTATAAGCAATCCCATTAAAGCCACCTTCACTTACAGAGCCTAGCATGTGAAAAAGTGTATTTGGGCAAAGAGCAACAGGGGGGAGAAAAGCTATGGAACTGCTGTGGGGAAGAAAGTGAATATGTTGCATTTATAAAGGACATGAAATGGCCTCAAGTTCTACCAGAAGAGGTCTTGATTGGACATTAAGAAGAAAGGGTTGTCAAGCACTGGAACAGACTGCCCAGGGAAGAGGTGGAGTCACTGTCCCTGGAGTGTTGAAAAGATGTAGATGCATAGATGCAGATGTGGCACTGAGAGACATGGTTTAGTGGTGGACTTCACAGTGTTAGATTAATGGTTGGATTTGATATCATTGAGGTATTTTCCAACCTAAATGATTCTGTAATTCTATGGTTTTCCTGAAAGGCATTCTGTATGAAAAGAAATTACTCAAGTGAGCTCCTTGGATTAAGTGGAAGTGAAGGTAGAAGCAAAACACCAGCATTACAAACTCAACAAGCAAAATAAACACACTCATCAAAAAACTGTTTCTCTGATGTATACATAATCTTTCATGGTTATAAGTGATCAGGGCATGGAACTCATCAAACAACTGGATTAAATGATTTAATAACATCCCAGAAAGCTTATTGTCACATAAAAGCTTTTTTTGTGACACAGAAGATGATTATGAAATGGTTGACTTGAACAACTTCAAAACCATTTTAATTTGCAACAGCACAGGGATTCTGGAATGCCAGCCAATCGCATAATATCATTCACCATTTCACAGAAAATAAAAAAAATAATTTTGCATGCAAGTCTTTTACTTCCCTCTTCTTCATCACCCCCTATTAGCTATTAGCTCTTTTAAGCTCTAATTTCAAATATGCCCATATCTTCCACTGATATTTCAGAATACCTGTCAAACTAATCATTCACTCTCAGCAAATCACACCCTTCAAATACAATAAAAAAGGTAATTAGTTTATATGTCCAGAATGCAAATAACTCTTCTAGATATTTAATAAAAAAGCCAGAGAATTTATTCAACATAGATATGGTATAAAAAATATCACTTCTATCAAATAAACCCTGGCATTTGGACAGGACTACTTTACATCTGCTGTTAATAAAAACAGCTTTGGATTCTGTAAGCTTATGTTCTGTGGTGAGCAAGCAGCAGTACCACTCTGAAACACAACACTACTTTCAGAGGAAAAAGGATAAATCTATATGACTTCTTGCTGGTTTGCTGATACTAAGGAAAGCACTCTGAGCTGGGAAAGGTCCTGCAAAGTATAAAGGTTGAAAATACCGCTGGTTCTTCATTCTAGCAATTTAATAAACTGCTAGGATTTTAATTAGAGTGACATATAGACAGTTCTAAAGGAGGAAACTAGCAATCCACATGCAAAACTCAATCATCTGCTTAGCAGGTTTATTAGATCCTTTCAGAAAGATGTTGACAGAAGGAAAGAAAATCCTAGTTACCGCTTCAAAATAAAATTCTACAGCCCAAAAAGGGAAGTAATATTATGACACTCAGCAATATCAGCCTTAACTTGAGGTTGGCTGGCCCCAGCAATGATATCTTCAGTTTGGATGACACTTCTAAGTTCCCTAGAGCGTGTTAGTCAGCTAAGAAGAATGGGAATACTGAAGTTATTCCATAGAAAATACTGCTGAGACTGCTGTGTCAGAAATTAGATTTCTCTCAGAGACTTGGCACTGATCTTTGGTAGAGGCTTGAAACTGCTTCTGGATTTTGATGCTTATGATGAATCTTCAAAGGCTGACAACAGGGCTCATAATTTTCCTTTAAAATACAACCAATGCAGAGGTGTTTATTAGAGACCATGTTTAATATACAGCCTGAGTGTTATTAGAGAAGTCACTGGCAGCATGGAAGACAGATCTTGGTTGGATGGGATTGTCTCATACCTGCAGCATCACAACACGTTGGTCTCCTGACAATGTTAGAAAGTAGGAGGAAGGGGTAATTCTCAGTTTCTTCCACTGAACTTGAACTACTATGCTGCAAACTATTCATGATTGATGGGGTTAAAGAAAGAAGAGTAAGCAGCTTCTCAGTCTGCAGTCGAACAAGTCCACTTGCTCATTAATAAGAAGTGTGACCAGCAGGGCAAGGGACGTGATTCTGCCCCTCTACTTCACTCTCAAGAAGCCATGCTGGGAGTGCTGCATCCAGCTCTGGGGTCCCCAGCACAGAAAAGATGTGGACATGTTGGAACAAGCCCAGAGGAGGGCCACAAAGATGATTAAAGGGCTGAAACTACACTTCTATGAAGACAGACTGAGA